ATCTTTCTTCTATCATTGACAGTCCCTCTAGGTTGTGGGCTGCTTGCCTGTGTTCCTGAGAAGCATCTACGGTACCAGTCTATAGAGTGTGTTTTCTTTAGTGAATTACCGGTATGTTTACCGGTAATAAACTTGCACTGTTTTATGTATATGTTTGATTACATACAGTCTTGTGACAGTTTTCCTGCATGTCATAAGCATTTGAATATAAATTAAAATGTTAAAATCAAATCTGATATTGTTTTACCTTTTATTTGGTGTGTGGAAGGTGTGCGGAAGAGGGGGTAGTCTTATACGGCGAGTATATTACAAACTCTGTATTTTGAGTGGAAATGTTAGGGGGTCGTCTTATACGCCCAGTCGTCTTATACGCCGGCAAATACGGTATTTGAAAAAAATGAAATCCACAATTAAAAATATCCAGCCAATTCCACTTCTGGGTATTTAGCTGAAGAAAATAAAAACACTAACTTGATGCTCAGCCGGCATGGCTCAGTGGTTGAGCATCATTTAATGAACCAGGAGGTCATGATTCGATTCCTGATCAGGGCACATGCCTGGGTTTGGGGCTTGATCCCCCGTATGGGACCATGCAGAAGGCAGTCAAACGATGATCCTCTCTCTCTCATCATTGATGTTTTTGTCCCGCCCTTGCTCTTACTTCCTCTCTGAGATCAATAAAAATATGTTTAACAACAACAAAAAGAAATAAGAGAAAAACATTGGTTGTATGACATAGTTTTGCTAAATATCAAGTATTTATTTTAAACAATGAGTAGCCAAAGAAAGTCAATATGAACAGACAATGACAGAAAACTACAGAAACTCCAAATACAGAAAGGCTGTTCATGCATCCAAACAGCATAACCATTACGGTTGAAAAACCACACAATATTCTTTCTCACATGTTTTGCTATTGAGCCAAGAATGAGTGCCTATTAAATAGAAGTAGGAATCTCAGGTGCATGTTGCTCAGCTCCCAAAAAACTGAGACTAAAGAGGTGTGGAAAGGATAGTATTCTTTCCTTTCAAAAGTATTTTTTTTTGTTATAAATTTTAATTGAGTTTTATACAGAGAGGAGGGGAGAGGGACAGAGAGTCAGAAACATCGACACCGCCCCCACCGTCCCCGGCTGGGGACACGCCCGCAACCAAGGCACATGCCCTTGACCAGAATCGAACCTGGGTCCCTGCAGTCCGCAGGTCAATGCTCTATCCACTGAGCCAAACCAATCAGGGCAAGGATAATATTCTTTTTTTTTTTGTCAAACTGTTTTTTTTTAATTTTATTAATTAAATCTTTATTGTTCCGATTATTACATTTGTTCTTCTTCACCCCCCCCATAACTCCCCTCCACCAAGTTCCCAGCCCACCCTCCTCCCTCACTCCCCACCCACTGTCCTCATCCATAGGTGCACGATTTTGGTCCAGTCTCTTCCCGCATCCTCCTCACCCTTTCCCCCCGCAAGAATAGCCAGTCCACTCCCTTTCTATGTCCCTGATTCTATTATAATCACCGGTTCATTCTGTTCATCAGATTATTCACTTGATTTTCAGATTCACTTGTTGATAGATGTGTATTTGGTGTTCATAATTTGCATCTTTACCTTTTTCTTCTTCTTCCTCTTCTTAAAGGATACCTTTCAGCATTTCATATAACACTGCTTTGGTGGTGGTGATCTCCTTTAACTTTTTCTTATCTGTGAAGCTCTTTATCTGACCTTCAATTCTGAATGATAGCTTTGCTGGATATAGTAATCTTGGTTGTAGGTTCTTGGCATTCATCACTTTGAATATTTCTTGCCACTCCCTTCTAGCCTGCAAAGTTTCTGTTGAGAAATCAGCTGACATTCGTATGGGTACTCCCTTATAGGTAACTGACTTTCTTTCTCTTGCTGCTTTTAGGGTTCTCTCTTTGTCTTTTGCTCTTGGCATTTTAATTATGATGTGTCTTGGTGTGGTCCTCTTTGGATTCCTTTTGTTTGGGGTTCTCTGCGCTTCCTGGACTTGGAAGTCTCTTTCTTTCACCAGGTAGGGGAAGTTTTCGTCATTATTTCTTCAAATAGGTTTTCAAGATCTTGCTCTCTCTCTTCTTCTGGCACCCCTATAATTCGGATGTTCGTGCGCTTGAAACTGTCCCAGAGGTTCCTTATGCTATCTTCGTATTATTGGATTCTTTTTTCATTTTGCTTTTCTGGTTGGGTGTTTTTTGCTTCTTCGTATTTCAAATCGTTGACTTGATTCTTGCGATCCTCTAGTATGCTGTTGGGAGTCTGTATAATATTCTTTATTTCAGTCAGAGTATGCTTAATTTCTAGTTGGTTCTTCATCACAACATCAAGGGTCTCATTAGATTTCTTGTAGATCTCATTAAGTTGATCGGCAGTTTCTAGAAAATTATTGAAAGACCTTAAAGTGTGGTATTGAACTCTATATCCAGTAGTTTGCTTTCCTCCACTTCTGTCATTGGTGTCCTTTTTGTCTCTGCATTTTTTATGCTTCCTTGTGTTGATAAAGTGGTTTTCTACGCTGAGTGTCCTCTAGGGCCCAGTGGTTCAGCCTCCCCAATTACCTGAGGAGGACACTCTTGGTGCACCCCGTTGTGGTGTTTGTGCACAGTCTTGTTGTAGTTAAGCCTTGGTTGTTGTAGGTATCACTGGGAGGAATTGGCCTCCAGGCCAATTGGCTGTGAGAATCAGCTGTGTCTGCAGTGGGAGAACTTCTGTGCTGGAAACACTCCTCTGGGGCAAGACTTGCTTCAATAGGGCTTTGGTGCTCACTGAGTCTGCCCCGAGTGTGTCCTTTATGTTTCCACGGAGCTGCAAACTGGATGGTCCCACTCTGACCTCTGGGTTTCCTGGCTCCTGGATCTCTAGGAGGTGTTAACCTAGCCTTTGCCTGAGGCTATCCAGCAAAAGCCTCCCTGCAGGGCTTGGGTGGGGCAGGTTTCATGGGATCAACAGTCCAGCCCTCAGAGGCTCTGCTT